GAAAGAATGGAAAATACTTATTAAATTGGTGAAACTCATTAAATTTTACCTTATATTTTTCAGATGAGAGAGAAGAGGTAGAATCGCTGTCAGACGAGTAGAATTTGTGAAAGAATTTATGTACATGTATATTTTGTTCATATTCTATAAATTTAGTTTGTTTTATTAAACTCTAAATTTTGGCCTTATATTCTGTATATATAACTACTATATATATCATATGATATGTTAGGTTGTATGTTAAATTGTTAAACTATACATATATATATTTTGCGAGTCTATTGTATGAAAATGACATGAGTAGGAAGTGCGTCTCATATCGAGTTTAGGGTGTTACAGTAAACAACAAGAAAAAATTAATTAATTAACTCTTATCTTCATTTTCATTGTACTAGTGCTCTTAAACCTTAATCTTTCCTCTTCCCTTCTATCTAATTCTTCATATTTTCTGAACTGTAATTTCCGATAAAACTTAACGCAAAAATTAATGATAAAAAATCTTGACAGTCTTATAAAATACTCGATTAATATTAAGTTTATTTAAATTTTCTTACAAAAATGTTATCTATGTAATTAAAATATAAACATCTTCAAAATATATTATATTTTTTAAAAATATAATATATTTAAATTATTGAGAGACAAAAAGTCTTATTAATTCATTTAACTAAATAAACTTTAATTAAACTAAACACCAAGTATTCATCAAACACATTTGATCCTTTGCTATTGTTAGTGTGGTAATTACATATTTTAATTAAAAATATAAAATAATGAAATACTTAAATTTTAAATATTAAAGCGCATTTATAGATTTTAAATTTTGTGTTCATATTATTAAGAAATATTTAAAACAAACTAATTACGTTTATGCAAACTAATACATTGCACCTCAAACACCTAGAATTTGCTCTCAAACAATGAATCAAAGTGCTCCAAATTGGTGCTTTTTGTATAGTCTTTTTCTAATGTAATTATCAGACAATACTTTCATTTTCATATTCTAAAATGTATTTTCAAGGTAATTTACATAAAACCCACTAACTAACAATTTGGTTAATTCATTATATGTATGTGTATGTATATATATTAAAAGTATTTACAGAACACGGGTAAAGAAAATGATAATTAGTGGGTATATGTACAACATACTTTTTTGGAAATTATTAGGCAATGATGGTGGTTTTTAAGATTAAGGAGTGAAAAAGTTTAGAACAACGATTCATTTATAAATAGGTTAAGTTTATGAATTATTTTAAATTATACTCAAAATTATAAGGTATTATTTTAATATTTTAAACTATTTTTTAACTTAAATCAATTTTTTTTTATTTACTAGATTGGTGGTATTTATTTTTTTTAATAAAATAAAAAATTATAAGTTCAAATTTGACTATTTATTTTTATGCATGCTCGTTTAAATAATGTGTTTATTAATTAATTAAAATATTATTTTAAATCAAAAATTTTTGAAGCTCCTGAGTACCTGAGCGAGAAATGTTCCAGGAAGTGGGATCACACTGTGGTCCCTATATTTATTTTTATTCATAAAAATTATATTTAAGAGAAACAAAAGGAGAAATTATGGTATTGTGCCCAAAAAAACAAAGAGTAACAAGAAAGAGGTGTTTTGTTTCGTCGGCTAGTGCTCTTTACCCGGTTTATAAATACACTACACTCGGTTTGTAGTCTGCAGATTCTTCTTTCAACATTTTCACCTTTTCTTTCTTTTGCCTCTCCTAACCTCCTTGTGTCTTTCTCCCCTTTAACCTCCTGCAAATCTCCATTTCTCCTCTGCTTCATCTTCAACATCTCTTTCTCTTCCACTTCCTTCTAAACTCCCTAGCTTTTTCCTGGTACTAACCTGTATCTGCTCTTGTATTGGTTTTTGTTTCTACGAACAGCATGCTGGCTGTGTTCTGGTGCTGATATACTCTGTTAATTTTTATTTGCAGAACCATCATGACTAACCAGAATGTGGTATTGTCCGATGCGAGATCGGGTATCGATGTTAGAATTACAGTTTCTTTGTCGAATTCTTCGCTGTTTTCTGCACCAGTGCCACAACCCCTGCGTGAACCAGATGGGTTCTTGGGCATTCCACGGAAGAAGATCTTGAAGACCCTCGACTCTGACAAAGGAGGACAGAAAATAAATTCATGGGTCGATTCAATGAGAGCTTCTTCTCCTAGCCGTGAGAAAACCACCACTTCTCTTGTTGAAAATGAAGAACAGAGCTCATGGATTGTAAGTTTAATCAGCCTTTAAACATAGAAGCGTTTTCTCTTAATTTTTTTTTTTTAATTAAAAACAAGCAAAACTGTTTCAGTAAACAAGTTAAAGCTACCGTGCTTGTCTCTTGTTTGGGTTTTGTTTCCTGCATTGCCTTGTGCAGTTCTTACTAAAAAGTAAAAATCATAGAGAATAGATGAATGTAATTTTTGAGTGGTGTGATTGGTCGTGAAACAGGTTCATCATCCTTCTGCGTTAAGCATGTTTGAACAAATAGTGAATGCGTCAAAGGGGAAGCAAATTGTGATGTTTCTGGACTACGATGGCACTCTATCCCCCATAGTTGACGATCCTGATCGTGCTTACATGACAAACGAGGTTTGCCTCTTCTCCTTCCTCTGCTTTTAAACTCTTGTATACGTTTATGCATATTGAAGTGAGTGTTTCTTCTTTCCTTTTTTTTTTTTTTTTTTTTTTTTTTGTAACTAAATGAAAAAAGCTGTAAAGGATGTGGCTAGATATTTTCCTACAGCAATAGTGACGGGGAGGTGCAAAAACAAGGTAATTTAAAGGTGTATGTATAGGCTTCATAGGCAGTTGTTGGGGTTAAGTGTTATCTGTATGCATTGGTTTTGATTTGGATATATGTTTGTGTACATGTTGCAGGTTCGCAGCTTTGTAAAATTAGCAGGACTTTATTATGCTGGCAGTCATGGAATGGACATTAAGGTACCATCAAAAAGCAGCAAATACAACAAAGTAAGTAGTATCATATTTGTACTACCTCTCTTACCCTGCTTTTATCATATGTATATATATATATACATCATATTTTGAAAAAAAAAAAAAAAAAGGAAGAAAAGTTGAATTTCTATGTGATTTGTCATAAACAAATTGTGATATATATTCAGGGTAACCAAGCAGTGCTGTTCCAACCTGCAAGTGAGTTCTTGCCCATGATTGACAAGGTTTGTTAACTTTTTCCATTCATCGTTGATATACCATAGATATAAGCTTGTGCTAACTTGTAAATCAATCTTCCTTTTTTTTTGTATTTTTTAAATTTTTCGGTCAAATGTAAAATTCTAATTAGATTTTTTAATTGGGTTTTAGGTGTACAAAACCTTGATAGAAAAGACGAAGTCCATCCCTGGAGCCAAGATTGAAAATAACAAATTTTGCGTATCTGTACATTACCGGTGTGTTGATGAAAAGGTAAGAAATTTACTGTTTCATTTTTTATGATATATATACATATATATATTTGCATAAATCAGAAAAAGTGAAGTATTATTAAATGTTGATGAAGATTAATGTGTTGTTGACAGAGATGGGATACAGTAGCTGAACAAGTTAAATTAGTACTGAATGAATACCCAAAGCTTAAACTATCACAAGGAAGAAAGGTACTCATCATCATTACTTTTACTCTTCCTGTAGAGAGTTTTGAAATATTAACGTGTATTGAATAATTAAAACTGCAGGTATTAGAGATCCGTCCAACAATTAAATGGGATAAGGGGAAGGCTCTTGAATTTCTTTTGGAATCATTAGGTGAGTGAATATTTATTTTTAACTTTTTTTTTTTTTTTTCTTTTTCCATACAGATACAGATACAGATACAGATACATATATACATGTGCGTGTGTGTAATTGTCTTTATGAGGGTGGTGGTGGTGATAATAATTAATTTCATCTGTGTTTCAGGATTTGCCAACTCTGAAGATGTTTTACCAGTCTATATTGGAGATGATCGTACGGACGAAGATGCATTCAAGGTACCATATGGAGATTCTTTATTAATTTTAACAATGTTCATGAGTTGTTTGAATAGGAATTAAAGAAGTGGGCGGGCTTTTATAAATTTATGAAAAATGTATGTATAGGTTTTAAGAGAAAGAGGACAAGGCTTTGGTATCCTGGTTTCAAAAGTTCCAAAGCAAACGAAGGCTTCTTATTCTCTGCAAGAACCATCTGAGGTGAAGCTCTTTTTACAACGTTTGGTGGAGTGGAAGAGACTATCATCACTATGAACATCATCATGCCTTATAATTAACACCCATTATTATTATTATTATTATTATTTTTTTTTTTTTTGTGCGTAGAAAAATAGAAATATTTAATGAGAGAATATTGATATATCCACCCTCCCAAAAATGGTTAAGGTTGGATTCTATATAATTATGTATTCTCTCTCTCTTTTTCTGAAGCAAATTATGTATTTTCTTGTTTAATGATCATACAAATTGTAAAAAATAAAATTAGAAAATAATCTTTCTCTCTCTCTCTCTCTCTCTCTCTCTCTCTCCATGACTATTTTTTCTTCGTACATATATATATATATATATATATATAGTGGCTGCATGACCATTTCAGTGAACTTACTGAGGAATATCACAGGAAGCATAAAGCGCTTGTACGTGAAAAGAAAAAAAAAAAAAAAAGGCCCCCAAAACTAATTAATATAAAGGAAGAATAGAAAAAATAATTATTGATTCAAACATATTCTATTTATAATTTAATTATTTCATTTGAATTAATTTTGAATTAAAAATAAAGTTAATTTGAAGTTAAAATATTATTTTTATTTGATTTGAAATTAAAATCAACATAAAAATCGATTAATTGAATTAAAACATATTTATCAACACCCCTTTGGATCTTGGTTTGATGCAAAGCCTCTGACCCATCTGCTTTAATTTCGATTAACTACTTAATTAATTAATTAATTAATGCATGGTGTTGTAATTAAGACGCGTATCATTGAATTGAAAAGGGGAATGAGAGACATACAGTTTGAGAATTGGAAGTTTTCTCCAAAAAGCTAGTTTATAAAGTGCGGAATCCAAGAAACTCCTGAGATTTATTTATTACTTGGACGCCATATTGTCGTGGGAGTAACTCCTAATTCTACTTCCCATACACACACACTTTTTTAGTTCCATATACTAATTCAGCCTCTTCTTATATAATTTAAGTCAGTGAACCTGGAATTAACTGCAGACCCCATAGATATGTATACGTATTCTTGTAATTGTATATATATATATATATATGTGTGTGTGTGTTGTTGACTTGTGGCAGTCAAACACACACTGAAATCTTGAAGTTGGTGTGTTCTCATTTCTCTAAGTTTTATGTCCAATCTTATCTAGCTAACTCCATGTGTTGATCTTAGGAACTTTCAAATAATAATGGAGAAAGCATCTATAACAGTTGTAAAGATACCTACCCCAGACAATAGGACATACAAACCCACAAGCTCATATTCTATACA